CAAGTACCAAACCTTGTAGAACAAGAAACCCTCAAGATGACTGGACAGGAATTCTGAGCACTGATTTTAAGGAAACTCCAAGATAGAAGAGAAGAATCAACTAGAGAACACAATGAAAGAAGAAAAAATATCCAGGATATGAAGGAGGAAGTTTGCAAAGAGACTAATAACTTAAGAAATAATATAAAAGAACTGCTAGAAATGAAGAATTCTGTCAGTGAAATAAAAACCAGAACAGAAAGCTTGAGCAGCAGGCTAGAGTAAGCAGAAGAAAGAATATCAGAAGTCAAAGATGGTCTTTATGAAGTAACCCAGGCAGACAAGAAAAAGGAAAAAGAACCAAAAATGTATTCATTACCTAGATTTCCTATTTTGCTGGTATACAGTTGTTCATGGTAGTCTCTTAGAATTCTTTTTTTTTTTTTCCTTTTTGTCTTTTTTACTGACCAGTAACGGGATCGCAACCCTCGGTGTCGCGACCGCACCGCACTCAGCCAGTGAGCGGGAACCGGTCTCCACATGGGATCCGAACCCTCAGCGGGAGCGCCGCCGCGCTCCCAAGTGGCGCACTCTCCAGTGCGCCACCGGGCCGGCCCTACTTCTCAGTGTTTTGCACAAACATTTTGTGCCTATCACACATTAGATTCTCAGTATATGTTTGTGGCATTAGATCATTAGACTGATTTTATCAATTCATTTCTTGCTGAGGGCCTGCTATGGGGCCTGGCCTCGGTCAGCACAGGGTTTCTCATTTTGGGATTCAAGATGCACCTGCATCAGAATCACCTGGGAGGCTTATTAATGATGTAGATTCCATATCCCATCCTAGATCTATTAAATTGGAGTGTGTGTATTGACTGGGTGATGGGGGGGGGGGAGTTGCTTGGAGATATGCGTTTTCAGTAAGGTTATTCTGATGGACACCAAAGCTTCCAAACATTGTTCCAGGTCCTGGGATACAGAGATGATTAAAACCCCTTGCCAGGTCAGAGAGAGAGAGAGAGAGAGAGAGAGAGAGAGTATGTGTATTCATGACTTCTTTATTTTATCATTTTTCTTCATAATTGTGCTGTTCATTTTCTGAGAGGCAATCCTACCTTGTATGTTAGATTAATGTTCTTATATAATAGAATTCACTACTATAACTTTTTTTGTTTTTCTTTTTTCCTCACTACTATAACTTTTTAATGTAAAATGTTATATTTAATTATAGAACTTAAAAAGTTTCTTCTGTGATAACTTGATAACTTGCTTATGGCTGATAAGTGATAACATGCTTATGGCTAAAAGGAGTATACTGCTTAGTATTAATAATAACAGTTACTGTTTGTTACAGCTTTTGCTAACCTTTATTTATGTTGAAGCCTAGTCTCAGGAGGAGTGCATTGTTATGCTTTCTTTACTGGTGAGAAAACAGAGACTCAGAGGCAAAATGACACAGCCTAGGTTAGACATCTAGAAAGTGTTGGAGTTGGGAGATGGATTGTAGTCTCTTGGGTTTCAGGGTCTCTCCTTTCACTGTTATATCACATTTAGTGATTAAGTTGGTTTTGAGGCTGGGATTTTTTGTTTGTTTGTTTGTTTGGCAGCTGGCCAATGCAGGGGTCTGAACCCTTGACCTTGGTGTTATCGGCACCATGTTCTAACCAACTGAGTTAACCGGCCAACCCAAGGCTGGATTTAAAAAAAAAAAAACAACCCCCTACCCCCACTGATCTTGTCTTTGAAATGTTTTTGGTTAAAGGTGGCACCACATTCATGTAGAAAAGGCCACATCACCGTGCCCATTCTGTGAGAAAGTTTAACCTCAAGAGAGAAGGAGAAAGTCAGCAAACATTTCAAAATAACTGTTGGGAGATCTGATAAAATAGAGGAGCCTTCCCTGATTTTCCCCTCCCCTGACAAGTGGTCCTGTGTCGGAATTTAGCTCAAAACTGTTTCTTTCTCTCTGGTTCCTCTGTTGTCTCCCATCCCCGCCACCATCTCCTCTCATAGCACAGCTGCTGTAGCTTCTAGACTGGCTCCCCACCTCCCCACATTCATTCTTGTCTGCTTCCACTGCTTTGGGAAAATTCTTTTTTTTTTTTTTTAAAGATGACCGGTAAGGGGATCTTAACCCTTGGCTTGGTGTTGTCAGCACCACGCTCAGCCAGTGAGCGAACCGGCCATCCCTATATGGGATCCGAACCCGGGGCCTTGGTGTTATCAGCACCGCACTCTCCCGAGTGAGCCACGGGCCGGCCCAGCTTTGGGAAAATTCTGCAGAACTTAGATTCCCTCACCTCATTCCCTGGTGGAAAATCCATGCTCCCCCGCAGCTTGTCTTTTTTCTTGGGAGAAAGAACCCTTCCTTAACACAGCCTGGGGCCTCACACTCTTTCCCTTGCCCTCTGCTCCAGCCACCCCGGCCTCTTTGTCTTTTGTTTTTAAAGCTTTTCACTACTTTTTCAGGGAAATCTTCCAGATTCCTGACCCCCACCCCCACCCCCCCACCCCTGACAATCCAGGCCACCTGGACCTGTTTTTCTTGCTCCACAAACTTTCAGTAAAGGGCCAGATTTGGCCCATGGACTGTCCTTTGCTGACCTCTGCTCTATACTATTATAGTCTATAAATCTGCATAAAATCACACATTTGTATGCTGAATTTATTACACCTGTCTGCTCAACTAGATGACTTTGGAATTAAGCCTATTTTGCCCACACTTGTGTCCACAGTGTCTGAGACATAGTAAGTGCTCAATAAATATGTATCGGCTCATCATCTGTTCAATGGTTAGTTACTGAATGCCTCCTTAGTGTCAGGCTCTGTGCTGGCCCCTGGGGCTTCCCAAACATTTCAGGTGGCTCTCTCAGGTGGCTTTCCAGCCACTGGGGAAGACGGTCTAGTAAGGCCATGTCCAGGGGCTGTCAACATGCCCTGGACAGGCTGGCATGAGAATGCATGGGCTCTCAAGGCCTAGCTTGGAATCGTGACCCTTCCCATCTCTATCAGTGCCACCTAACCTTTCTGAGCCCGAGGATTAGGCCTATCTTGCCAATTGTGCAGATTAAGCAAGATACCATGTTTGAAAGTGCCATATATGTAGGGATGTTAGTTTCATCCCAAAGCAGAAGGTCCCTGCCCCTCAGTGAGTGAAGTCTGGCTGGGCATGTTGTCACTCAGCTTGTGACATGTGTCTATCACTGCCTATTGATGAAGGTAGAAGACTGCAAGTAGAGTGGAAGAGCAGGT